GTAATAACAAAAGACGAAACGCCTTGACGGTTTGTAGTCTTAGAGGAGATGTTTTAAGACAACTGGGCACCGTTTATCGACGAGACAACCAGGGCAATCAACGGCAGTGTAGAGAAAACGCGGAAATCGATGGCATTGACTAAGCGCGCGGTACAAACAAGTTCGCTGCTTCAGAAAGCGAAGGAAACTGCGGTACCTACGTGCCGTAATTCAATTTTCAAAAGCCAGACAGGAATGGAAGGATCTTTGCCACTCCTAAAGCGTAATCTTCACTTGGATCTCGTCTTCAAAGATTTCTTAGTTGCTAGTCTCCAGGCCATAGGCAGCTATAGGCGGGTTTTGAAAGCTTTTTACGACAATAACATGAAAGTTACTGAAAGATATTTTGGTTTTGGCATTATAGATCCTCTGCAAGTTAGCTGTAAAACATTTTTGAAACAGAACATATAGCAATGAGCGTGGAGGGAAGTTGCAAAGCCGTGATGGCAGCGTYGGAGTAAAATTCGTCACTTAGGCCTAAGGGAGTTAGCCCTTTACGACAGATGCATTGTCTAGAAAAAAAAGCTGATAGTCATCATATTTTCTTGACCCCTGACCCTCTTCTTCATTGAATCAACTGAATAGGGGATTTATTGAACAATAAACCATTGACATTAGAGTAAGCTAAATAAATCTTAAGCATGAAAAACTCCATCGCGAGCTGATCAAGTGACCCTCTGTACGGGCCCGGTTAGAAAACCCGAAAAGGGCGACAGTCTTGCTAGCTGGAGACTCCCTTATATTTGAAATACTTTTTGCAACTTAAATGGCAGTTCTCATTATGTGATACCTCGTTGTATAATAATAATTGACAATTACATTTAATGGGCGATGATTTCTACCAAGATATTAGATCCACAGAAAGAAAGCTGTGTACATATAACGGTAGAACAGAAATGTTTAATGGCGATAGAATGTATTTTAAGGACTATCAAACCATAGTTGTCAAACCTTATGCATGCTTTTTACGTTCAAGAGACTAAATTTATGCCATAGCGGGACATGTGCTTTTAATACTAACAGGAAAATATTTTTATTCTTTGTCACTGCCAATTGTAAGCACATTTTCTTTGGCATCACGCGAACTTC